TTTCTCAGAACTGTACCAATGAAATACATGAAATCTGTTATATTAATAAAAAAGACACTAAAATATTTTTTCTAGATAATATTTTCCATACACTAGGTAGGATTATTTCTTCTTTTAATTAGTTACTTTCAATGGCATAATAAGTACCAAAACTTTTATCCCTCTTCAAATTCAAAAGATGCCACTGCCACGCAAGCTCTTTGGTTTCCCATCCAAAACAATCACCACCTTGATCCCTCTCTTACTTATTGCCTTGAATTTCCTTTATGTATTGACCTGTGGTAACTATATGCATTTGTAAAAAGTACATTTTTTATATTAACTATTTTTACTCTTTTTAAAAAATAATGACTTAAGACATAAAAAAAAACACAAAAATTTAGGAGAACACAAGCTCTTTACTCTTTTTAAAAAATGCTAAGTGTAACCTTTTGGGGCAGTTTTTTCACCAAATCTTCCTACCCACCAGACAGCAATATGGTGTTAAGATTCATTCAAATTCTTTTATTTCAATATGTTACTTGTCTTTGCTGTTATATAATATACTGGTTTACCTGCTTACAGATAGGTGTTTGAACTGTTTATAGCTTTTGGCTGTCCTGAACAAGCACTAGCATTAAAATTCTTTGGGCCAATACTGTGGCTATGGTGTGGCGGGTAAAGCCACCACCTGCAGTGCCAGCATCCCATATGGGTACTGGTTTGACTCCCAGCTGCTCCACTTCCAATCCAGCTCCCTGCTAATGTGCCTGGGAAAGCAGTGGAAGATGGCCCAAGTGCTTGGGCCCTTGCACCCATGTGAGAGACCTGGAAGAAGCTCTAGGTTTATGTTTTCAGATTGGCCCAGGTCCAGACATTGTAGCCAACTGGGGAGTGAACCAGTGGATGGAAGACGTCTCTCTCTGCTACTGCTTCTCTGTAACTCTGCCTTTCAAATAAATAAATAATCTTTTTAAAAAATCTTTATCTCCTGTTGTATGCATGCATGCAAAAATTTCCCTTGTTAAGACTTAACAGTGGAATTGTTGATTAGCAAGGTAGGTGAATATTCAACTTTAATACAAAATGCCAAAAAGATACTCCAAAGAATTTACAATAATTTACATTTCAACAGCAGGGTAGGAGATATCCTGAAAGTCTGTTGTACTGTGTTTGGTATTATTAGACTTTCTACTTTTTATTGTTTATGCTTTTTGGTTGAATTTTAATTGAGGTAATTGTAGGATCCCATTAAGCTGTAAGATATAATAAATTTCCTGTATACTTTTTACTCAGTTTCCCCTCTATACTTTTTTTTTTACAAAAGTCGTTCAGTATCAGTCCAGCATGTTGATTCTGATATAGACTACTGACTTATTCAGATTACCACACTTTTACTTGCATTTCTTTGTGTATCTGTGTGTATGTGGGTGGGGGCATGCATGTGAATATGCATTCATTCTTTACAATTTGATCACATGTGTATGTTTGTGTATTCAGTCAGTGCAGCACACCGGCTACAGAGGCCATTGGAGGGTGAACCAACGGAAAGGGAAGACCTATCTCTCCGTCTCTCTCACTGTCCACTCTGCCTGTCAAAAATATTTATTTATTTGAAAGGAGAAGTTGCAGAGGCAGAGAGGGAGAGAGAAAGAGAGAGCAGTCTTCCATCTGCTGGTTCACTCCTCAATGGCCACAAAAGCCAGAGCTGGGCAAACCAAAGCTAGGAGCCTGGAGCTTCTTCCAAGTCTCCCACGTGGGTACAGGGGTTGGGCTGTCTTCTGCTTTCTCAGGCTGTAACAGAGAACTGAATGGGAAGTGGAGCAGCCAGGACTCGAACTGGTACCCATATGGGATGTCTGCACTGCAGGTGGCAGCTTTACCCGCTATGCCACAGTGCCAGTCGCTGGTAGTCTTAAGATTGGGTAAAATGATTCATGATACTTTAGTCTTTATCATGATTTCAGTAGTCTTAGATTTTATATTGTTCACTTACATATTTTATAGTTTGTATTTTCCACTTATATTTCACTTATATTATTATTTTATTTAGATAAAATAATAAACATAGGTCAATATGGTAATAATTGACATCTTTATTATGTTGAGTACTGCAACCCATGAATACAGTACATTTCTCTCTCTTTTTTTTTAAAGATTTATTTATTTTATTTGAAAGTCAGAATCAGAGTTACACAGAGAGAGAAGGAGAGGCGCAGAGAGAGAGAGAGAGAGAGGTCTTCCATCCACTGGTTCACTTCCCAAATGGCTGCAATGGCTGGAGCTGTTCCGATCCAAAGCCAGGAGCGAGGAGCCAGGAAATTCTTCCAGGTCTTCCACGTGGAAGCAGGGACCCAAGGGCTTCTACTGTTTTCCCAGGCCATAGCGGAGAGCTGGATTGGAAGTGGAGCAGCTGGGTCTTGAACCGGCAGCCATATGGGATGCCAGCACTTCAGGTAGCAGCTTGACCCGCTCGCTACACCACAGTGCCAGCCCCATTTCTCCACTTTTTAAAATTCTTTGTTTTCTTTTTTTTAATACATTCTGTAATTTTTAGGACCAAGAACTTGTTTTAGTAAGTATATACTTAAGTATTTCATCATCTTCAGAGCAGTTGTAAATAGCATTGAGTTTATTAATTGTAGCCAGTTGAATGAGTACAAATTCTATCTCTTGTAATTTTGTTTTTTTTCTGCAGTCATTAATTTAAATGTGTGTTCATTCATTTATTAATGTTATGTATTATTTCCTAAAGGGTCTGCTCATGGTTCTTTATATATTCTTAATGCTAATTCTTTCTTTTTAAAATATTATGCATATTTTCTCCCAGTTGTCACTTTTTATTTGTCTTTAAATTATTTTTAATGAATAGATTTTTAAATTTTAGTATTTCAATCCTTTCGATCAATTATGTTTTATTTAGTTGTTAGAATTTGTATCTCCAAATAATTTCATTTGAATGAACTAAATAAAATTTTTTGTTAGAAATCAATTGTTTAAAAAAATACTAGTTTCGGGGCTGGTGCTGTGGTGCAGTGGGTTAATGCTCTGGCCTGATGTGCCAGCAGACCTGGCTGCTCACTTCCAATCCAGCTCTCTGCTATGACCTGGGAAAGCAGTGGAAGAGGTCCAACTCCTTGGGCTCTTACACCCGCGTGGGAGACCTGGAAGAAGCTCCTGGCTCCTGGCTTTAAATAGGTGCAGCTCTGGCAGTTTCAAATAAACTTTCAAATAAAAACAAATACAAATCTTTTAAAAAATGCAAAAAAACACTAGCTTCCTTACTCCTTTTCTAAATAAACATTAAGAAGCATTCCTTTTCTAAGATACCTTCTATATTCTCAAATAATTAAAAAGTGAAATAATATTCCTAGTAGTTTTGGAAGAGAGAAAAAAACTAATCTCCACTTGAGTGTAAGTTTTCTCCATGAAGACCAGGAGAAATGGGTTCTTGAAGTTTAATCAGACTTGAATTTTTCTTGGTCACATCCAAAAAACAACATAATTTCTACTCAATGTCTCCTTGCAGTATTCTGTTATGGATTTTTCTGCAGTATGTTACAGTAGGGCTGATTAAAGAAGGAGGGTTTGGTGCCTGAAATGCAATGTATAGACTCTGAGTTGTACTGTTCAGCTTTCATAATGAAGATGGTGCTATTTCATTGGCAAATGTATTTTTCCTCATCTGGTAAAAGGATTTAGGCATTTCCCCACATATTTTTGTCTAGGAAAAAAAAAAAAAAACCAATATCCTTTAAGCAAAGTAAGGTAGGTAGAAAGGCATATTATATTAAACTGCCTAAGTAAACCATGGTATTTCAATTTTTTTAAAAATTTTGTTTTCCTTACATAAATTACGCTTCAAATGTTTTGTGTTGTCATATTAATGTTAAAAAGCAGATTAGGGATTTCCTGGACCTGCAAGAAGTTAAACTATAGATGTAAGAAACATGCATATGCACATGGCGATATTCAGTCCTACTGTGAAAATGCAGTGAGATTCAGCAGCCCTTTGGAAGTACAGGTTTAAATATGAAGCAGTGCAACTAAAGATACTGAAAATACCAAGACACTTCCAAGGATTCCTAAAATGCTCTAAGAATATTCCAGTATTCACACAGTGGTTCTGTGTGAATAGAGATGGTGGTTTTTCACCTGGTCCAGCAGACAGACCTACACCAGGCAGCCTCCCTCTTTGATGTAAGGACTTAGCCACTTCCCCTCAGCACTTCCCCAGCATCACTGCAGGTGGCTCAGGCCCTCTCTCAGTGGTAAAGCTTATTTTACACAGCTCCAGCCGCTGGGACCGTTCTCTGGATTCTCATCCTGAGTCCTAATTGAACCACTTAAAAATCAGTTATTGAAATGTTCATTAGGGACATACATCTTGTTGTCACAAGGATACAACATGCAAGCAATTTTTGAATTTATGGAAACTCTTGAGCCTTTTTTTTTTTTTTTTTCAATTTTCTTCTTCCAAAAATATCTTCTGCTTCAACATGGGTCTGTGTGGCTTTGTTAGATTAAATGCATGGCGCTGATTTGTTATGGCATTTGAGAAGTCCGTGTTTCTCTCCCCTTATCACTTCCTGTAGCATAGACTTATCACAATAGGACAGCCGCCTTTCTGCTTCCTGGACATCTGCCCATCTCGGCTGACTGGCCCGCATCAGCTTTGCTGAGACCGTTCCTGGAAAGAATCTGCAGGCTAGGGCCCAACGCAGACGATTTTGCATAGACACTGCTTTCTAAAACACGCAGAAGGCTGAGTTGCCAGAATGGTGTGAACCTGCCAGTATTTTTGCTAACTGTTTCCAGAGCACCAACTCGGATGCCAGTTGTTAATACAATTTTTTCCCTAGTGAAAATGCATTTAAGGGAAGAGTTATAAAAAGATGGCTGTATTAATGGGAACTTTATTGTATTCTTAGCACTAAGTTTTCTGAAAGATATTAAAATAGACTCACTCCTTTAAAGCGTCCAACAGTAACACATGGGCTTTTGTGGTTTGTGCCTTGCAGAGGTGAAATTTGTCTGTCAGACTCCAGCTATTGCTGACATTGTAATCCTGGTTGATGGTTCATGGAGTATTGGAAGATTCAACTTCAGACTGGTTCGGCTTTTCTTGGAAAACCTGGTTACCGCATTCAATGTGGGCTCAGAGAAGACACGAGTCGGTACATCCTCTAGTATTAGCAACAGCGATCAGCTGTCCATGTAAAACTGCCACAAAGCTTTTTAAGATTTTTAAGAACTCTACAAAGTGACTTTCAGAATTATCGATAAATTTTTTTTTTTTTTTTTTTTTTTTTTTTTTTTTTTTTTTGACAGGCAGAGTGGACAGTGAGAGAGACAGACAGAGAGAGAAAGGTCTTCCTTTTGCCGCTGGTTCACCCTCCAATGGCCGCCGCTGCAGCCGGCGCACCGCGCTGATCCTGGCAGGAGCCAGGAGCCAGGTGCTTTTCCTGGTCTCCCATGGGGTGCAGGGCCCAAGCACCTGGGCCATCCTCCACTGCACTCCCTGGCCATAGCAGAGAGCTGGCCTGGAAGAGGGGCAACCGGGACAGAATCCGGCGCCCCAACCGGGACTAGAACCCGGTGTGCCGGCGCCGCAAGGTGGAGGATTAGCCTATTGAGCCACGGCGCCGGCTAGAATTATCGATAAATTTTACTAATGTTCCCTGAAGCACAAGTCTGGATTAATAAATAATTATTACTATTGTTTTTTGCTGTGGCATTGTCATCCAATTAGTTATCAGAAACACTCTAACTTTGTGAAAAAATAAAAATATTCTTTGTTAACAATAATAAAACAGTGTTTAATGTTGTAGCTGGCTTAAGAAGTTGTCACAGAGCCGTTTTCTTTTTATTTAAAAGAAACAGCTGGATCCAGGAAAATGTTGAACTACGGAAATTGAAAATTGGAAATAGTTTTATAGTACAAGATACTCTTTGCCAAATTAACCCAAGCCAAGATAAAAAAGCAAAGAAGTTTTAAATCTTTGAGCAATATTATAAAAATAATATTTTTTATTATATAATGTTTTACAGTTTAGCTTTTAAATAGCTGTTGAGGAAAATAAAAATTCCCTTGAGAAGAAAACAACAGCAAATATATCTCAGCTGTTCATCTATGTACATGATCAGGATATTTTTAATGCCAATGGCCTAATTGGGTAGTCACTTCTAAATTGTTGGAAAATCCAAACAGGATTAAAAAGTTTCATGGAAAATGCACATTATCTTTTAATTCCCTTTTCCACAAAATTTTTGAAACCTCCCCTCACCCTCAGATACACAACCTGATTCCTTTAATTGATGTCAGGAAGTCTTTTTGAAAGTCAGTGGTTAGGCAATAAATAAATAAGGAAGGAAGGAAGGAAGGAAGTATTGGGCCCCCTTAATCATTGCTGTTTCTTGACTGTTCCACTAGGTCTTTGGGTAACCCATTATTTCTGGTGGGATTTCTCATTTATCTTTTCCAGGTCTTGCACAGTACAGCGGGGACCCTCGAATAGAATGGCACTTGAATGCCTTTAGCACAAAAGATGAAGTGATTGAAGCTGTTCGAAACCTTCCTTATAAGGGAGGAAATACACTCACAGGTATGTTTTGTGTAGTGCACGTTCTTAGCAGCAATAGTTGCATGCCTCTTTTCTCCACATTTTTAAAGAGGGTGCATATTAATTTGTAACCAAACTACCACCTGAAATTCTTAGAGGGCTTTTCCCAACCTCAGCATTAAGAGTTCAAACCCTAGGCATCTAATTTCTTTTGCTGTATGAATCTAATGTCCCAGGAAGGACTTGGTTGGGCGAGAAGAAAATGAAGTAATCCATGAGGCCAATAGCCTTCAGTCGCTGTCTAAACTTGACTAGTTTGTGTGCCTTCCTCTCTTTTCCCTTCTTTTCATTTCCAGCCATTAAGTCATTGAAATGAAAACAAAATTCTGTTTTATTTTCATAGAGAATATTTTCTTTGCCCTTATTCTGTAATCAGTAGTTATCATGAAAATGTGGAAATTTGGCTCACCACTCCTTTTGATAAATGACTAATGATTTTAACCTCCACACAAGCTCTTATTGCCTTCTACAGGCACAATGAATGTGCTTAGCACAAACAATATAGATGCTGTGATTGACTTCCAGGTGAACCACTGAGATCTTGGTAATTGCTTTGCCATGTTGGTTTATAATTTAATGAAGCTTTGTGAATTAAAAGTTATTGAATATAAATCCTATAACAATATTGCAACACTTATAGTTTTAGGGTGGAAAGTGTCACACTCCAAGGGCAGGAATATGATCATGATTTTATATCTTTCGCTGTTAGGAGAGAGAGAGAGCAAGCAAGCCAGGGAGTGTTTTGGGGACAATCTCTCCTTGAGGTGGGGAGGTATTCTTGCTTTATCCTAAAGATTTAGATTTTCTTTTATACAAAGTCTGTTAGCATCTGTTGGACATGAATCCAATGTTAATCATGAATGTTAGTTTCTGAAATAATGCATTGATTAATTTTACCTGGTGGATTTTAGTTTTTCATCAGATATATCAAAGACAAGGTCATTACAGAAACGAAGGATCACACCTAGTAAAAACTCTTTCAGATCAATAAGTTACCCATCTCAGAGTTTAAATTTACATAGAAGGCTTTTTATTAGAGATGGTTGGTTAATGTTTATTTTCCCCTGTTTTCTCCTAGGTCTTGCTTTGAACTACATTTTTGAAAACAGCTTCAAACCAGAAGCAGGATCAAGGACTGGAGTACCCAAAATTGGAATTTTAATCACAGATGGAAAATCCCAAGATGATATTATTCCACCATCCAGAAATCTTCGTGAGTCTGGAGTAGAGCTGTTTGCCATAGGTATGTGTTCTTTTTGTTTTGTTTTGTTTTGTTTTGTTTTGTTTTGTTTTAGATTTATTTGAAAGGCAGAGTTACAGAAAGGTGGAGGGGGGGGGAGAGAGAGAAAGACAGAGTGAGTGTTCTATCTGCTGGTTCACTCCCCAAATGGCTGCAGCAGGCGGAGCTGTGCTGTGCTGATCCGAAGTCAGGAGCCTGGAGCTTCTTCCAGGTCTCCCACATGTGTGCAGTAGCCCAAGCACTTGGGGCCATCTTCTACGCTTTCCCAGGCCATAGCAGAGAGCTGGATTGGAAGTGGAGCAGCAGGGACTCAAATTGGTGCCCATATGGGATGCTGGCACTGCAGACAGCGGCTTTGCCCACTATGCCACAGCTCCAGCCCTGGCATGTGTTCTTTATGGCCCTATTTCAACTATGGCCAGAGACACACAGCTGCTTAAAACAATATGCAACACAAAGTGCACTTTAATGAATAGTTAGGAGAACTGAGCACTTTCTAGATCCCAACTCCCTAGCCAGTACAGTGACTGAACCTAGATTAAAAGGAGTAATGCCAACTGTTGTGTGTCCCATAAAATCAGGACTTCTAGTTGAGATATCATATATATAACATGTTGTGAATAGCATAAGTGTCATGCAAAGGTCAGGTGCATAATTACCATTTAATTAGTCGTGACTTTTTTCTTTAGGGTCTCTTTGTAGCTACATCTTTTCTTGTTGTATAGGTATAAGCCAACTTAACATTTTTAAGGAATTAGGTACCTGTACTTATTTAAAGAAAGTACAAAGTTCTACATATATAGTATTATTTACTTGATACTAACCCTTTTTAAGATATACTTCTTGTGGAAAAACTTATACAAGTAGGCATTTTACATTCATTCAGAATACAAAATATTTACATGATGCAATTTCACTCTTAATTAAAGTTTTACATTTTGTTAAGCAATAGGAAAATATCTTACTTGGTAGAGATACACAAGCTTTCAGAAAAAAAAAGTGATTCCCAAGCAACTCTAAAATATAAATTGAGATGCCACAGCAATTTCCTTACCAGAGATCCAACACTAATTGGTTATTTTGAGTGGTCCATTTTTCATCGTTTTGCATACTTAATTATTTTTACTATCAATATTAAGATCAATTATATGCATTTATATCTGTATTTATCAATGATAGTGTGTAGTCTTGTCTTTGTGAACTGCCTATGAGATGTTTCTTAATCAGAAGAGTATGCTGTCCATGTTGGCATTGCATACCAGATAGGAGGGACATGCTGGGTGCCAGTAGAAAAAGTACAGATTCCAGGGTCCTGGTGTAGTCCTACTAAATTGAAATATCCAGGGCAAGAGCCCTGGGAATGTGTGCTTTCCATATGTGTATTTCTAAAACGTTCTTCAGAGTTGAGATGAGAGCTGCTGGTGAACTCATTGGACTATCTCGACTATGTGCATTGGTAAGATTCTCTCCCTTAGAGAAAGACCCTAACTGTTATCTTGTGTGTGTGTTTTATTTAGTCAGAGTGTGTTTCTGATGTTAGTTTTTCAGAACTTATTTCCTACTCACTTCTAGCCTAGTACTCAGAACAGTTGCAGAAGTGATGGAAGTTATGTTCTTCCTTCCCTTTAGCCCCACAGCTTCTCTGAAAGGTTCTTGCCAATTACCTACCCTGGTGCTTTTTGACACTTAACAGGTGTCCAGTGAGTAGCTGTTGAATAATTTAATAGCCTAAAGAATTTATAAAATAGCAATATTACCATTAATGTTAAAAACTACAATGTTTATGAACAACACATGCAAGAGAAGTGATTACTGCTATTCAAGTATATTATCCTGTGGTAATCTATGTATCACTGAAACATTTTCCACACACAGAAGAAAGAGCAAAGAAATCCAGGGGAAAAATTAAGGATATTTTATGTTCAGACTTTGTTTTGGTAAATTATCACCTTGTTAATTTGTGTGCATGTATATGTGTGGGGAAGACGGATGTTGTATCTCAGTGGTGTGCAGGAGCTGGCTTATAACATATTGCAAAGCCAGTTTTGCACATTTCTTCCAACATCTGCATCCTTGACCTCACATTGGTAGTTTTAAATAAGTCGAGTGGGGTGTTTATATTACAAAAAATAATAATGGCAAACACTACAAATCAGAGCAGAAAGCTGACTGCTAAATATTTACCACGTTTACCAGCAGACCCCTGGAACCTAACTGTGCAGTAAACTAAATGACTTCAACCATATGGTCACTTTACTGTTGAAGATAACTGTGACCTTGGTCTGAGGAATTGACTCAAATTTGCTTAGCTTCAACATTTCTTACCCTGTGCTTTAACAGTACATCTTTCAGAGCTACCAATGTGAAAGAAAAAATTCTCTGACCCTTTCCTGGATTTGTTACTGAAAATGTGGTTTACAGAAGGCGTCATCCAAGTATTTGCTTATTTATTTACTGTGTGCCAGGCATTGTGTCCGATACTGGAACACAAAGATGAGCACAGCAAAATCCTTACCAAACAAATTCCTTCAAAGTCATGCTGCTCGTTTACTCTGTTTCCAGGCAGTTGCAACAAACTATTTTATTTGGAAAGAAGGAGCAAGAGATAGAGTAAGAGAAGGGGGGGGGGGCAAGGAGAGAGAGAGAGACAGGGAAAGAGAGAGAGACAGGGAGAGAGAGGGAGGGAGATGGGGAGATAAATAGATTTGGGACTATGAATGCCATGAAAAAACATAGACACAAAGATCATTGCTTAGGCATGCTCTCAGTGTTCCATTGATTCAGATGTGCCTTTTAGATGCTATTGTAGAAGTCCTTCAGGCAAGAAACATCAGATTTTATTATGTTTGTATTCCTTTGTTCATAAAGGAAATCTCTAGAAACTTTAAGTGATTGGGGGGATTAGCTTGTATGTTTACCTCCATTTTCTGCCCCTTTTAATAAAGAATGGATTTGAACAAAACTTTAAGTGAATTCATTCAGAAATGATTTGGACTTTCTCTGGAAATCACCTGAAAATAGTCAGCATTTATTATCTTACAACATCCTGAAGCAAAGAGTTCAGAGACAAGTAATCCTTTGTTACTACATAAGTTGAGGTTGGAAGGTAAATTAACTGGCATAGCCAGGCATCTAAGAAGAAATCCATGTGCCCCAGGCAATCTCTCTTCCTTGCTTTTGTAGTACTCCTTTTAATACCCTCAGATGATTGAAATGACAGGATTTAAAAAAAAAATCCTTCTTGTTTGCTGAAGCCTGGAGAAGGGAAGTCTACTTAACATTGTGCCTTTCCTTTTTTTCTCTCTTATTTCATTGGTAAATGTTGACACATTTTAAATCTTGTGAGAGGCAGCATGATATGGGGGAACAGCAGCTCTGCACTTATTAACTGTGCATCCTTGAGCAAATTAGTTAACCTCTCTGAATGTTTACTCCTTTTAAAGTGGCAGAAACAGTAGTGTCAAGCTCATGGGGTTGGCTGTGCGGAGTAAATGTGTTAATGTAAGTAAAGCACTTAGTACAGTGCTTGGAGAGTAATTAGCATACCAACTGTTAGCATCCATAGTTTGCTGTTCACTGTGCTCTCTGCTACATTCCAAACACCCAGCACTATACTTGATCTTCATAGTAATGGAATTCAATACCATGAAAGGACCAGAACTTTCCTATATGCTATATGCTTGACAAAGTTGTGGTGCTTATTAGACAAAAACTATATTGAGATGTGTTAAAACTTTTTTCCCATAAACTTCCTCTTTGGTTTAATGGTATAATAAATTATATTATATTGTTCTTGAAGTTTCTTTCAGCGTAAGTAAACTGATTTGATTGCAATTTAAAGCTATCTTTGATTGTTTGGAATACTGGATTAGTTATGATTGCTTGTATAATGTTCACACAGCCAAGTTAATTTCATCAACTTATTTTCCTATTATGTGCAAAGAAAAATTAATATTTAATCATTTAAATTTAATCTGAAGCCAATTTATATTTTTCTTAGATTTATTTATTTATTTGAAAGGCAGAGTTACAGAGAGGGTTAGAGAGGAGAGGCAGAGGGAGAGGTCCTCCATCTTCAAATGGCCACAATGGCCAGAACTGGGCTGATCAAAGCCAGGAGCCAGGAGCTTCTTCCAGGTCTCCCACATGGGTGCAGGGGCCCAAGCACCTGGGCTGTCCTCTGCTACTTTCCCAGCAAGGAGCTGGATGAGAAGTGGAGCAGCCAGACTTGAACCAGCACCCATATGGGATGTACTGTAGGCAGAGGCTTAATCTTCTATGCCACAGTGCCAGCCCCTGAAGGCAACTTTTAAAAAGCAATCTGGGGCTAACATTGGCAAATGCTTAAGACACTGGTAGGACTCCCCCATCCCATATCAGTGTTTGGATTTGGGTCTCCATTCTGATTCTGATTACAGCTTCCTGTCAATGTTCATTCTGGGAGGCGGTAGTTAATGGCTCAAGAACCTGGGTCCCTGCCACCCACATGAGAAATCTGGATTGTGTTCCCAGCTCTTGAATTTGGCCTGAACCAGCCCCAGCTATTGTTGGAAGTTGAGGAATAAATCAATGGAGGGAAGACCTCTATCTCTGTCTCTCAGCCTTTCAAGTATATAAAAATAAAAATTCAAACGACCTTTCCCCAAACAATCTGATTTGAAATGTGGCTCTTTCAAATAGCAAATCCAAGAATGACAAGTCTCTCAATGGGAGAGAGAGCAGCCTCTGAGATGGGAGTTCCAAGTGGCCACTGATCCAAACATAGGAATACGATATCTTTTGTTTTGTCCTTGATATGTGTTCTTTTATTTTTTTAAGATTTATTTATTTGAAAGGCAGAGTTACAGAGAGGCAGAGGCAGAGAGAGAGAGAGAGAGAGAGGAGAGAGAGAGAATCTTCCATCCACTGGTTCACTCCCCAAATGGCTCCAGAGGCTAGAGCTGTGCTAATCCGAAGCCAGGAGCTTCTTCTGGGTCTCCCACGTAGGTGCAGGGGCGAAAGGATGTGGGCCATCTTCTGCTTTCCCAGGCCATGGCAGAGAGCTGGATCTGAAGTGAAGTTGGTTCATGAACCAGTGCCCATATGGGATGCCAGCACCGCAGGTGGCAGCTTTTACCCACTATACCATAGCGCCATCCTGATACATGTTCTTGATGTTCTCTTTTATTATTTATTTTTTCTATTTGCATAATCTGTTAGTGCTATTTTGTTACATAATAAATACAAGACTTAGCTATATTTTTCATTTCATCAATTTATTTTATAAGTGTTTATAAAATAAATTTGCATCATTTATATTTTAAAAAAATCCACACCAGAGCTTTGTTTGCAGTGGAGTCTGACTGGGTCAGGTCAGGCTCACTGCAGTTGCTCTTCCCAGTGGGATGTGAATGTCACTGTCCTCCCTGTCGTCCTCAATGCCAGGGGTAAAAAACGCTGATGTGAATGAACTGCAAGAGATTGCCTCCGAACCAGACAGCACTCATGTGTACAACGTCGCAGAGTTCGACCTGATGCACACGGTGGTGGAGAGTCTGACGAGGACTGTCTGCTCCAGGGTGGAAGAACAGGACAGAGAAATCAAAGGTAAACAAACAACAGAGAGCATCCTGGGCAACCTGGGTCTATTGTGCTTAGGAAAACTGTTGCTGTTCACATTGGCTTTAAAGACTCCTTTTTCTCTTAAGAACTGAGTCATCAGGGAGGAAAAGGGAGTATATTGGCCAGCTTTGTGGATGAGAGACGGATTCTTTAATTACTCGATTTTTTTTTTCTGTAGTGTTTACATTTAGAGCATCATTTTAAAAATTTAAGCCCTTCATTTACAATATAATTACACATTCATATGCAGCTGTAAGAAATGATATATGGAGAGATCATGTGCTCTTATTGGATTCCCCACATGGTAGCATCTTGCAGAACTATAGCACAATATTGTAAGCAGAACGTTGTCTTGACTCTGCCAAGACACAGAACTTTTCCATCACAGCAAGGACTAGGCATCTTGCCTTTTTATAGCCACTCCCTTTGTTATTCCTCCCTCACTGTCTCCCTAAACCCTGGCAATCACTAATCTCTCCATTTCTTAATTTGTCTCATTTCAAAGATATTATATAAATGGAATTATGTAACCTTTGATGACTGGCTTTTTTCATGCAAGATAATTTCTAGAGATTAATCCAAAGTGTTGCGTGTGGCATATTCCATGGTGTGGATGTCACACAGTTTGCTTAACCATTCACTTATTGAAGGGCATTTGAGTGCTTTAAAATTTAAGGCCATTACATATAAAACTGCTCTGAATATCCATGTATAGGTTCTTATGTGAACATAAATTCTTGTTTCTCTGGGATAACGCCCAAGAGTACAATGGTTGGATCATATCTGAGTCACATTTTTAACTTGGTTTTCATTAAGAAATTGCCAAATTATTTTCTAGAGTGCCTGTAACATTTTATGTTCCCATTGATAATGTTATGAGTAATTCAGTTTCGATGTGTTATCATCATCTGTTGTCGTTCAAGTGCTTTTTTTTTTTTTTTAGCCATTTTGATTGGCATGTAGCGATACAGCACTGGTTTTTTTTTTTGTATCATTTTTTAACACTGTGGTTTTTTTATTTCACTCATGACTTATTGGGCATCTTTTCACATGCTTCTTTTCCATGTGTATATCCACTTGGTGAAATGTCTGTTCATGTCTTTTCCCCACTACCTAGTTGGAGTTTTTTCTTTATTGTCAAGTATCAGGTGTAATTGTGTGAGTTGGGTTCTCTATTCGATTCCAAAGGGCCAATGTATCATGCCCTCTTCTAATATCATATAATCTTAATTTGCTGTAGCTTGGTAGTAAGCCCTGAAATTGGGTAGATTTGAGTTCACTCACCTGATTATTCTGTAAACAATCTGTTTTTGCTCTTCTACTTCCTTTTCCTTTCCATACATATTAGAAAACCTTATTAGAATTTTAATAGGAATTGCAATAATACATTATAAAATGCCAAGTTGGAGAGAATTGACATTTTTACTATGTTGATTTTTCCAATCCATGAACACAGTATATCTCTTTGTTTATTTAGATATCTATTTGATTTCTTTTATCTGAGCATTTTTTCATAGTTTTCAGAATACAATTCCTACACACATGTTGTTAATTCATACCTATTTTACTTTATTTGGAGTGACTTTGTATTGTATTTTTAACTTCAGTGTCCATATGTTCATTGCAGTAAAAGGAAATACAGCATCTTGTATGTTATGATCTTATCTTAATGCACTAGTTAGTTAAGGAGTTTTCCTCTAGATTTTTGGGGATATTCTTTGTAGAAAATCATACCATCTGCAAATGGGATAGGTTGATTCGTGACTTTTTGATCTCCGTGCTTTGTACTTCCTCTTCTTGCTTATCACATGGGATAGAATGTCTAGAACCATATGGAATAAAACTGTTTAGAATGAATGTTGTTGCCTTATTCCCCATTATAGGGAGAATATTTCTGCTTTACAGGGAATGTATCTATTTTATTGAATTTGTAGAACGTATGTGTGCAGAGCTCTTCATAATATTCTGTTACTATTCTTTTTATGAGTATGGATTTAATAATTATATATCTTTTTTCCTTATATATATTGGTAATTTATATATTCTCCCTTATTTTTTCCCTTTTAAACTTAGGACTTTGTTCCCCCATCCCTTCCTCTCTCTCTCTTCCTTCTGATCCTCCTTCTTTCTCCTTTCTTCTTCATCTTTTCAAAATTTCAGCTCTTAACTGTTTTTCTGGTTTGTATTTCATTTATTTCTACTATTTACATTTTTTTCCTTTTGCTAGTTTTGGGTTTATTTGGCTCTTGTTTTTATAGATTCTAGGTGATGACTTGGGTTATTGATTTGAGATATTTCCTCTTGACTAATATAAGTAATTAGTGTCATAAATTTATTTTTCAGCAATGCTTTAGCAGTGTCCTACAACTTTTGACAGATTGTATTTTTATTTTCACTTAGTTCAAGTAATTTTTCATCTCCTCTCCTCTTTGACTCATTGATTTTTTTCAGACTATGTAGTGGTAAGTTAACTTGCAACTTCTTGGAAGTTTTCTGTTTTGTTTTATGACCAAGATGTGATTTATTTTGATATGTGCTCTGTGATTGCTTGAAAAGGTGTTATAATTATGTGCTATTGTCATGATCTGTTATGATCTTACTGACTAATGGTCTTATTGATATGTCCTTACTGATGTTTTTGGCCTAGTTTTTTTTTTTTTTTTTTTTTTTTACCAATTATTGAGAGAATGATGGTCTCCAGTTATAATTCTGAATTTGTTTATTTCTTATTTTATTTCTCTCAATGTTTATTTCACATATATGGCAGCTCTTTGGTGCATACACATTTAGGATGCTGTGTTTTCTTGGTAGATTAACCAGTTCCATTGCACTGCCTTCTCTGTCTCTGGTACTTGTCTTTGTTCTGAAGTCTAACTTTATCTGATATTAGTATGGCCACCCCTACTTTCTTTTGGTTAATATTTACATAATATAACTCTATTTACTCTCAACTTACGTATCTCATTATATTTGAGGTTGACTTTAGGTTGACAGCATACTGATAGTTATGTCTATAAATCCAACATTTAATGTAATTGACATATTTGAGTGTACATTCAACATTTTATTTGTTTTTCTTTTTTTCCTGTTTGCTCTTTCTGGTTTCTAGTTCTTTGTTTTCCTTTTTCTTTCTGCCTGCAGGTTGATTAAATATTTTTTTAAGAATTCCATTGTGATTCGTTCACAGTGCTTTTGAGTGAACCTGTATGAATAGGTTTTTTTTAGTGATTGCTCTGGGTACTATAGTTTATACAGACAACTTATCACAGCCTCGCATGTTGACATTTTACCAGTTTGAGAGGTGAATAAACCTTACCTCCTGCCAGGCCCTTAACCACACCTGTGTCCCTTTACCACATAATCATCTGTAACAGTTCTTCCTATATGTTTAGAAACATCAGAAATTTTTATAGTTGCTGCTTTATCCTACAGATATATCTTAGAAGACTCCAAAGGTTAAAATGTATCGTGTTTTCCTCATTTGATGCTTTTTTCATTTTTTTCTTCCTTTCTGAGAGAATAGAATCTTTTCTTTTTATATCATTTTCCTTATCATTTTTTTTAGAAATAGAATATTCTTTTAAAATAGGTTTTTTGGTGCCAAATTCTTTTAATTTTCCTTTATCTGAGAATGTAGTGATTTTTCCCCCCTTCATTTTTTTTTGGGGGGGCCAGGCAGAGTTAGACAGTGTGTGTGTGTGTGTGTGTGTGTGTGTGTGTGAGAGAGAGAGAAAGAGGGAGAGAAAGAGGGAGAGAGAGAGTTATAGACAGTGAGAGACAGAAAGGTCTTCCTTCTGTTGGTTCACTCCCCTAATGGCCACTATGGCCAGCGCGCTGCACCGATCGGAAGCCAGGAGCTGGGTACTTCCTCCCGGTCTCCCATGTGGGTGCAGGGACCCAAGCACAGGGCCACAGCAGAGAGCTGGACTGGAAGAGGAGCAACTGGGACAGAATCTGGTGCCCCAACTGGGACTAGAACCCAGAGTACCGGCGCCGAAGTTGAAGGATTAGCCAAATTAGCCAAGTGAGCCACGGCACCGCCCCCCTCCCCCCTTCATTCTTGAAAGGTATTTTTCCTGGATATAGAATTCTGGTTTGACAATTTTTTTTTTTAGCTTAAAAAGTGTTGTGCCACTGCCTTCAGTTTTCCGTAGCTTCTGATGAGAAATATGCTGTTATTCAAATTGTTTTTTCTCCTCTAGGTAAGGAGCCATTTCTTTTTCTCTCATTGTTTTTAAGATTCTTCTTTATGTGTAGTTATCAGAAGTTTGAATATGCTATGTCATAGTGCAAATTTCTTTGGGCTTATCTTATATGAGGTCTACTTTTTTTCTTGGTCTGTAGTTTATGTGATTTGCCAAATTTGGGAAATTTTCAACATTATCCTTCAGGTACTTTTTCATCCCCATCTTTTTTCTCCTGGGGATCTTATAACATGAAATTTAGATATTATAGTCTCATATGTCTGAGGTTCTATGAATTTTTTAAGTCTGTTTTCTTTCTGTTGTTCAGATTAGGTAATTTCTATCGATTTTTTTAAACTTTTATTTAATGAATATAAATTTCCAAAGTACAGCTTATGGATTACAATGGCTTTCCCCCCCAATAACTTCCCTCCCATCTGCAACCCTCCCATCTCCTGCTCCCTCTCCCATTCCATTTACATCGATTCATATTCTTTTTTCCTTTTTTTTTTTTTTTTTTTTTTGACAGGCAGAGTGGACAGTGAGAGAGAGAGAGACAGAGAGAAAGGTCTTCCTTTGCCATTGGTTCACCCTCCAATGGCCGCAGCGGCTGGCGCGCTGCAGCCGGGGCACCGCGCTGATCTGATGGCAGGAGCCAGGTACTTATCCTGGTCTCCCATGGGGTGCAGGGCCCAAGCACTTGGGCCATTGTTGCTCCCCCACTTGCAGAGGAATGACACCTGACCAGACGCTGTTTTCTTTCCCTGGTCCTTCCCGGGTTTGCTGCTGCTCCCCCGCCTC